GAGAGGGCAGTGAAACTTGAGAATGGATGTCTCAGTCATTTTGAGGTTTTTTTCCCTTTCTTTCAGCAGTAATATATACTTAATTATTGAAAGGTGGTTTTGCGGTTAGATCAGAGAAAATTCATTTATGCTTTGCTCCATGGAGTTATTTTAATAGTTTCTTTCTATAATTCCGAGAATTTGCTTTCTCCAAATCAATTTTCAGTCGCGATTTTTGGTCTGCCTCTTCATATAGTCTTGTCTGAGTTGTTCCATTTTCCCCTTAAAATGTCAGGTTTTTACTGCTATAGCATTCAGCCTATTTGCTGAAGAGAATACGGAAATTGCAGTTGTGGAGGTTAAATGCGTTAACTTGACTCTTTTCTCTATGATAGCTATACTCGTTTTTTCCCCTCCCACTTCCTCTGTTCTTTCCCATTGTTGGTGTTTGAAAAAATAGATCTTTAGACCATATTAGATTTTTGGTCCTTTATCTTTTCTTTTCCTCCAAAATCAAAGTTGGCTTTCCGTTCGTGTTTACATTAACGTTTTAGATTTTCCCCTATCATATAGGCTGGATTGGGCGGAGCACGAGATGCCACTAATGTTATTTCAGGTTCTGATCTTGCTTTATCAATCATAACTACTGTTGGTGAGGAACATCTGGAAGCACTTGGAGGCTCTTTGGAAAGTATAGCGGTGGCAAAATCAGGAATAGTTAAACATGGGCGCCCAGTTAGTTGGTTCTTCCCTCTACCTATCCATTGCATATATTTCAAGATTAACTTAAATTTTTTTGGAAATTGTGTTTGATCTGATGATTTTTGTTTGGTTATTTGAACATGTGTGCTTTCAGACACTGGTCAATCAGCTCATGCCCTAAATGGTTGTATTTTTTATATGCGATAGGATACTAATCTGCTAGTTCTAACCTCTAACTTGATGAGAGAGCAAAGATGATTAACCTCTTAATGTTGTGTCTGTAGTATGTTGCGTTCAAAAGGAAAAAAATTGGCCAGTTTGTTGTCCTTAAACTCGGAAAAGAAAAAACATTATTAGTTATCTTATTTGCTATTTGGATCAACAGTGCTTGACTTGTTTCAAATCATTCAATATTTCAGCTTGTTCTAGGAGGTCCATTCATTCCATCTATTGAGTGCATTCTTCGTGGGAAAGCATCTTCTATGTCTTCACCAGTAGTATCAGCATCTGATCCTGGAAACAGAAGCGCTTTGAGAGGCTTCTGTGACGTGAGTGGCATACCTCGCCAATTGTGTGATATAGTGCTCCAGATTGTGAAGGACTTTGATCTGGTATATACTGATCTTCATTTGTGCTTCATACATGGCAAATTGGACTTTTTGAAACTTGTCCAATGTCTAACAATATACAAGCTATTGATTGTTTTTCATAAATAGCGTAGTCGATTGAACTTCTAGGTGTGAAATTACGCATGCTTGGAGCTCACCAACTTCAAAATGCTGTAACTGCTACATGTGCAGCCTTGTGCCTTAATAAGCAAGGTAAGGACTCAAAAATATCTTTTAATCTTTATTCAATATTCAATAGTAGTTCTAGCAAGTTAAAATGTCTTCGGCTCTGATGGAAATTGAGATCATATAACCTCCTTTTCTTATTATTTTGAAACATCACCGGAGTCAGTTAAGTACTCAATTAATTTTTACTATGGTGATTGGCTTTCGAATGCCACTTTCTATAACCTCTGTCCTATGTGCCTACTTAAAAAGAAAAGTGGATACATTTTTTCTTGCCAGTTAATTTACGATTTTTCTCTAACAGTACAGATTGGCTGATGCATATGGGGATCATTTACCCTTGTATTATATATTTATGATAGGTAGGTACTCAACCTTGTGTTCTATTATGCAGTATAAATTTGATATAGTTTTACGGGGTTGAGGATGCTAAAACTGCATAAATCATTGGGCTTACAGCTTGCTCCATGAAATACAATGATTATCTCAAAGCTTTTACCTTTTTTTATTGTTAATTTGAAGGATTTGTTCTTGGCAAATCTCGTTTACTCTGTTGAACTAGTGGCACTTAGGTCAAGATTTACTTTTCTCCCATGACATGCTCTAGAACTATTTCAGGGGCATTTAGCTACCAACACGTGCTTAATCCCATTAATTTTGGATTTTCTCTTTTCGGTTGTGGGTTTAACTCTAATTGGGATGATTCTCCTGTTGACTCAAGTAGTTTCAGAAAAGGATGGGAATGGGTTCATCTTAAAGCTTCATAAAATCTCTTCCGTTTGTTGCTATAAATAGATTGAAATGTCGTCTAATAATGGATCTAAGTTATTTTAACTGCAAAATTTACATTAACGTCAGGTACTTGATTGAATTATTTTGACTTTTTGCTTGTGTACTATGATCAACTTTCTTCTTAACTTTATCCTTGTAATGCGTCTAAATACTAGGATGGAGTTTGTCCAGTGGATCTATTCGTGCTGGTCTGGAGAGTGCGTTTTTGCAAGGCAGAACCCAAATATTGTCTTCAGAAGAAGCTAATTTACTTGGAGTACCTGGGGCCACTATACTACTTGATGGAGGTTGAATCCTAATGTTCTTATTGTTGGCCATGCATGTGTGTACATAGCGATGGATAATACAATGATTTACATCTGTTTTCAAGAGTTGTGGTTGTCAGTCTTTGGTAGTGGATACTATAATAATGAATAAACATTTTCAGCACATACAAAGGAATCTGCCGGGGCTTTGGCAAACACGTTGCAGATGACATTTCCAAAGGCAAAAATGGTTGTTGTGGTTGCTATGGCTAATGACAAGGACTATCTAGGTTTCGCAAGAGAGCTACTCTCAGGTTTGACCAATTTTGGATCTTTTTGCCACATGATCCATATCTTTTTTTGGTTGATGAGTTCTTATTCATGCATAAATTTAATTATTCAATTACAGCGTAGCTGCAGCTTGAAGATTGTGGAATAGTTTTGTTGTTAATTTGACCCCTTTTGCATGTTTGCTATCATTATATCGCAACCAAATACTTTTCCTAAAACTATGACATTGTTCCGTTAACAATTTGACCCCTTTTTGCGTATTTGCTACCATTACTTCGCAAATAAATACTTGTCCTAAATCTATGACTCTTTAGAGTGATCAATGAGAACTTGAAACTATGGAGAAGTACTCTAGAGAGTAGTTCTCATAACCCTATTGGAAGAATGAAGGTGAAGGAGGATTAGACAGAATTGTGATGCCTAAATGAACACAATATGGACATCTGGACTTATTCTTCGAGTAGAATGATATCAAGAATGGTATGATACCTGGAACAATTGTTAGTAATGTTACATGGCAATGCATATTGGGCCTCTAAGCCTAAAATATTCACAAGATGAATGTCCTAAAAATGCGGATATTAAAGATGGATGTGCAGTCACACAAGATTAGACAATGTTAGAAATGACGATTTCAGATAAAGGGTTCAAGCTATGTTGCTCGGACTCTTCAAAACTGTCGTCGGGTTCATGTCGGATCCTCCAAAAGTAGTGTATTTTTTGAGGATCCGACATGGGTGCTGCAACAGTTTTGGAGAGTCAGTACAACATAGGTTCAAGTGGTACACTTAGAGAATAGATGAGAGATGGTTGTTTAGGATGGTTTTGTTATGTCCTACATAGACTTCATATGCACTGTCTGGAGGTGTGACAATATGATAATTGAAGATGCTAAATAGAAATGGGATAAAACTAAAATTACTTGGATGGGAACTGTTGAAAAGACTTCAACCTTTCAAAGTCAATGTGAACTTAGCTAAAAACTGCACAAAAGTGGCATGAAAAATCCATATATGCGATACCAACTAGTTGGTGTAAAGGTGTAGTTGTTATGTCGCTTATATTATGTTTGGTCTTAACAAGAGTTGTCCCTTCAGGAACTTCCGATAAATATGTTCAGGCCTAACAGGAATTTTTTTTTTTTTTTTTTGTGTAGAATTTTGTATGTTAGTGTGGGGATAGTTGTGACATTTAGATAATATCAGTTTAAAAGCTCCTTTTTTGTCTTAAAAGACATTATCTGTTATCGGGAATGGAATAGACTCGAGTAGAGCTGAATGGTTGAGAATTCATACAACCAACCTTAACTAGTTTGGATTTGAGGTATAGTTGATTAATTGATCGGTTTCAAGCTAAATTTGGGATTCGATTTCGAGTTTTTATCTTCCCGAGGCACAAACTATGGAACCTCATTATTAGGTTTAAGGTTAAAGAACACATCACTTTAGAGCATCCGCTCAACATTCTTTTTGGCTTGACCAAAATGTTGTATTCCTCTAAATCACACAGCTTCTTAGTCAAAATGATGTTAGGATTTTAAGCTTGTGTAGCTTAAAGAGGGTGAATGAGAAATGGAGGGAAAATGAAATATTTGAGTTTCCCTTGGGAAAGGGACATTGTCCCATATCGGAGGAAGAAAAGGCTTTTGATGGGTATATATATAATTGCTCTTCTTCTAGCTCTTAAAGAGTTAAGAAAAAAGGCAAGCCTCGCGCCGCCGTCGTCGCTCGCTCGGCTCGGCTTCGGATTCGGATTCGGATTCGGTCAAAGATCGATTGATTGATTTATCTTTTTGGACAAAATTCCTTTCAATTATTTAATTAATTAATTAAATAATTAACGAAAAATTCAATCCGGAATAACCCATGACCCGGTTCAGTCAGACCCGTTTTCTTTCCCGGATTATTTTAAATATATTTTTCCCGCAATATTTCAAACACCCCTTTTCACCAGCCATGGCTGTTTCTGAAAGGTTGCAAACCTTTTCAGAAACATTGCCATCAATTCTATAAATAGAGTTTGAATCCCAGAATCTTTCCTTACGAAATTTTCTGAGCTTCTTCT